TGGTATCACCACTCTCTCTCTCTCTCTCTCTCTCTCTCTCTCTCTCTCTTACATAATGAAAAATGCATTATTTCATTACAAATAATATTTTTCCAATAATATTTTTCTTTTTCCGCCTTAATTTGGATTTCCTCCAATGTTGTGGGCAGTTCTCTTATAGTATTGTATAATACGTTATTAATTACATTTTCGGCTCTTATCGCTGCAGTTGCTGTGTCATCAAGTATTTCGCAGAATCCTGGTATTAGTCTAGACAATCCGTCTGTATGAATTAAATTTTTTGATGGTAGAAATTCCATTTTATAATTTTAATTCAATAGGATAATTCCCCAGCGCTGCAGTCTACTTGCTGTATGTGTGGGAACACCCTTTTTTATCCATATATAGACAGTAATGGACGATAGTTTCTCTCTAGTATAAATTCTCTACCATGTATGAAGTTGTGAAACTTTTTCATGGCAAATATCATGGCCAATGCTTCCTTTTCTATCTGGCTGTAGCTTCTTTCAGCTACAATTAATGATCTTGAAGCTTGAGTTATTGGTTTAGTTGTTCCATCCTCATATTTGTGTAGTATCACTGCTACAATACCCGAATCACTTGCATCTGATGCAACCACAATCATTAATTTATGGTCAAAACCGGCAAAAATGTTAGCCATTATATGCTGGAATGTATTTGGTGCTACCTTTATACCGAAAGGAAGTCGGTTGAATTTGTATAACCCTCTATGAATGTTAATTGTTAATACATTTGAGCAGTCTTCATCCACTAGTATTTGAATCTATGCGTCTGACAAGTCAAATTTAGAAAACAAATTACCACCATTCAGTTTGGCAAAAACATTTTCTGGATTTGGTAAAGGGTTGTAGTTTTAAACTTTTATTTAACCACATTGAAAAATCAGCACATACGCGGTTTTTATTATTCCTTTTTTTGACGTAGACCGTTGGTCATGCCCATTCAGAATAGATTATTTTTTATATCACACCTAATTTTTCTAATCTGTCCAATTCATTATTAATTGGATCTAAGTCCACAAAAGGTGCACTCCTTTTTGGCTTAAATGTCGGTGTTACATTCTCTTTTAACTCAAACTTAGCTTTTGCTTTCGTGCATGTCCCTAGACCTTCTGGGAAAACTTCATTTTTCAGTTGCCGTATTAGTACCATGGGTAACAACATTTATCCTGTTGCAAAAAGAGTTAACTGGATGGTCCCAAAGATCAAATAATGCACTCCAGTCTGTTCCAAGTAAATTAGCAGTATTCTTTAATACAAACACCACCGCTTTTTTGTTTTTCCTACAAAAGAAACATTACAACTGAATTCACCCAAAAAGTTCAATCTCTTTCCTGGGACTCCATGCGCAACTTTATCAGAAGTCAATAAACTGGGCTTATCCATTTTTCTCCATGTCTGTTCATTTATGATAGTGATCAGATCCTGTATCTAATTTCAATTTAATTTTTACATCGTTAATTTGCACAGAAATAAATTTCCTCTTTTGAGATGTCTTGTTAATTTCCCTTTCAGACTTCTTATCGTTACTCCATGTATTTATCATGTTCACATACGTTTTATTTTTCTCCATTTTTTGTTTCTGTAACGTGTACTTTTGTGTCCTAATCTCCACATTCATAGCATTTTGTGTTCTTGAAGAAACAATCAATTTTAAAATGCTTACCTCCACAACCGTGGCAATTATTAGGTATTGAGGGAGGGAGGTTATAGTCTTTTTTACTGTTCTGTTAGGAGTTGAAAAACGTTTGTATTTTTTTTTTCTCTTAGACGGTCGGACACTATGTAAGGTAAATTTTCTTTTTCCTCAATCCTTGCGGTATCGAGTTTCAAATTCACAGTACATTGACACTTCCGCTATTTTCTGGAGAGATAATTTGGAATCCATTTCTAATTTAGCAAGTATCCTGGATCTTATGTCCGCGTCCTTATTAGAAGTTAAACCCTGTACGAATATCAGGCATGTAAATAAATCATTAATTCATTTAACTTGAACTTGTCACATTCTCGATTCACGACTCCTGCATAAGTAACAAAATATCCATCGTCGGACTTTACTAAGTTAAGACATTGCCATCGTCTATTAAATAATGAACCCCTATCACCAAAAATTGTTGTTAATATTAGAGCAGTTTCAGCAAAATTTATCTCTCCTGGGTTTTTTTCGCCAAAATATAATTCACATATTTTCATGTTCCGGAGGGGAAAATTTCCTTCAAGACATCCGTATACCGTAAACCGACATTCACTGGACAGTACCTAAATTTCAACTCCCACCATCCATACTGAGTCGCTTCCTTGTAGATATAATTGACACATTGAACAGAAAGTCTCCTTCAAATGTCCGAAACTCTGCCAACTTTGCAGAAATAATCAAACCAAACAGATGGTGAGCTTGGACGTGGTGAGTTTGTTCACCAAGGTACCCACGGAGGAGGCACTCTCAGTAGAACAGAGACAGATTGGCCTCTGACTCATCCATAGAAGAACGGACCAGTATTCAAAAAAGAAATCTGATGGAGATTTTGAATTTCTGTACACAAACAACACACTTCGGAATGGGATCACACATATATCGACAGGACGAGGGCTTAGCAATGGGCTCGGCATTATCACCAGCAATGGCGAATATATACATGGAATACTTTGAGGAAATGGCATTAGAATCCATAACTCTAAAGCCAACTCTATGGTTAAGGTACGCAGATGACACTTTCATACTCTGGCCACACCAGGAAGATGTTCAGGTGCTACTAGACCATGTGAACTCAATAAGACCTACGATACAGTTCACGATGGAGAAAGAGAGTAACAACACACACCTATTCCTGGATGTTCTAATATCTCAAACAGAGCATGGATTCAAGACATCCGTATACCGTAAACCGACATTCACCGGACAGTACCTCAATTTCAACTCCCACCATCCATACAGCGTAAAGAAAGGTATCGTCTGCTGCTTACAATGCTGAGCAAATGTCACAAGTGGCGACCCAGAGACATTAGATAAAGAATTAGTCAGTATAAGTAGTACCCTACAACGTAACAACTACCCTGGGTACATGGCAGCAGCCCCAATAAACTGGGATAGGCGGGTACAAGAACAAGAGGAGGACAGAAACACACAGAAAACAGTCTGCCAGCGTTATGTGAAGGGATTATCGGAGAAAATACAAAGGGTCTGCGGTCCATATAACATCAGGACAACCTTCAAAAGCTGGACGACACTTTGCAGATATCTCTCCCGAGTAAAACCCGCCCCCATAGAGGCGAACATGACTAAAGGCTGTGTGTACGCCATCCTGTGCAGCTGCAGAAAGAAATATAAAGGGGAGACAGGCCGCCCCCTTAAAGTAAGGTTTCAAGAACACCAGAAAGCTGTAACACGAGGGGAAGTGGAAAAATCAGGCGTGGCTGGCCACATATGGAGAGAAAAGGGAGATCACCGTTCTCTGTAGGATCAGGTTGAAATCATAGACAAAGAACATAATTGGAAAATTCTTAAACTTAAGGAATCAACACATATACTAGGCCACAAAAATCTCCTGAGCCGACCAAGCATAGAAATGAATACAATATGGGAACCAGTAATAAGGAGTGCCAGAGAAAAGCGATAATGACAACGAAAATTGCAATATGAGCTCTGGTAAAAAAAAAAAACAGGCAATGATAACAGCAAAAAAATTGCAATATGAGCACTTAAAAAATGTTGCTGAAGACATTAGGCAGACAGAAATTCATACACAGATGTCTTCAAGGACACATGGCACATTGGACAGGACCCAAAGAGTGCAAGTTCAATACCCGGTTATGGCAGTGGAGAACTTGGAGAGGAGAATTAACAGGAAATAACTGATAATTGATATCCATTAGAAATGGCGCGTGGAACTAGAACAGTCTACCGCAGCGAGCGAAATAAAGGGTTCAGTTCGACATTTCAACCACCTGAAGAAGGCCGGGGCGTATAACGGCCGAAATTTTGTGATAAATATGGCAACAAAGATGAGGACAATAGTCCGAATAATGTAAATAGTCTACATAACAACTCATCTCAGAAATATAGACAAATAATTTTTCCTCGTGTAAATTGAACGAATCTTCGTCGACACTTTTGTAATATCAACGAATACTCGTTGTCACTTTCGTAATACTCGTTGTAATAAATACATTGTAATTGCATATCCAACTATAGTAAAAAGTGTTTTAAAAATTATAATTTTTTGTTGTAGTATTTTAGTTCGTCGACTATGTAGAAAAGCATTTTTTTTAATTATCTATACTAGTTTTGTGTGTAAATTCCGATTCCGTCGCAGGTTGTAGATTTTTATTTATACGTTAAAGCTTCCTTCTGTGCTCTATGTTGTTTAATTGTTGAATAGTTGTATTTTTAGCAGTGTTTTATAAATTTTAGTTAATTGGTTATAATTTTGTGTAATACATTGCGAGGGAAATTGAGTGATAGCTGATAGTATGATAATATAGATTCAGTGATATATGAATAGAAATTAATATCGAAATAGACGATGTATTACTTTTATACTACACTGAACTTGCGTCTTTCCATTTGCTTAGTCCCATAATTCAGAGTTAATTTCTTCTAGAAGAATAGACTCAATTTTTTGGTTTTTAACTTTTGGTTGTTTTTTCTTCTGTCTATATATCATATCTGACGTTTTCTTTGTTTTCTTTTGGTATGAAGAATACTGGGGATTTTATTAAAAAGAAAACGGTTTTCACAATTTCAGTTTACGGCTCAGTTAAATACAGACTATCCTTGACACTGAGGACTCATTGTGCACAAATATAGTAAATATATATACATACGCGCCCTCGCACAGACACGCGTATATATATATATATATATATATATATATATGTGTGTGTGTGTGTGTGTGTGTGTGTGTGTGTGTGTGTGTGTGTGTGTGTGTGTGTGTGTGTTTATGTTTGTTTTAAGTGGGGTCAAATACTCTTGGGAAAGGTATGGGTCTCTCTCTCTCTCTCTCTCTCTCTCTCTCTCTCTCTCTCTCTAGCCTTAAGTAACAACCATTCTAAAAGAAGAAATTCATAAGGGCTATTTAAAGACTTCATCGTATACTATGCTCAATTTCACTCATCAATTCTTCTGAACTTACTTTTTCACTATTTTAATTAAATGTTTGAATCTTATGTAGTCTGGAGATTTAGTCATTACACATCGAAATACGCCATATATATATATATATATATATATATATATATATATATATATATATATATAATCCTCCCCAGATTCACGGAGCAGTTTCTTAATGTTGTTATTAAGCTCATTAAGGAATGTGCCGTAGTTTTTTTTTCATTTTTTATTTTCCGAAGTACTTTCAATCACTTCCAAGTAATGAAAAAACTACGGTTTAATAGCAAGATTAAGAACTTGATCCGTGAATTTGAGAGGATTAATATAAAAAATAAATATATGTTTAGATTATTCAACGAAACATGCTTGAATGAAGATATACTTTAAACACACACACACACACACACACACACACACACATATATATATATATATATATATATATATATAAATATATATATATATATATATATATATATATATATATATATATATATATATATATATTGACGTACCAAAATGACATCTAATGGCAGTATGTAATGGTAATGATAGATGGCGCCAATAAACCTTGAAGTTATGGAAATGGTCACAACTGTATGTGTTTTCACACCTAGTGAGTAAGACTGAACACATTAGCTACGTTGTTTACTGCGAAGTTGAATAGATCATGATTGTGTGTGGCGGAATCATTGAACATTCCATTTCTGAAATTATAGAGATATTTTACATCCCTCAATGTCATATCTTACAGGGAATACCTGGTGGAAGGAATTATAACTTAGCATCAGCAATGCAGGGACAGACAACGTAGGAGAATCTAGCAAAAATCTAAACTGTCAATGTTGCCTCATATCACATTCACTATGTAAGAAGTACCAGATATATATCCAGCAGGTTAGTTTATGGGATCTGGGAGCATACCTATCTATTTATTCCTGTTAATGTCAAAACTCCATAAATAGTGCTTCATCTAGTTTATTGACATCATTTATTGGAATTGAAGTCTGACAATATGTGGCCTGGTTCAAATGAATCAGTTGTTTCGGTCTGATGGTATGGTTCGGCTGTTGCGCAGACCCCATGAGACTATGGGCCCCAGTTGTTAACAAGGAGCCGTACAGGATGGTAGTTCTTCTATAGCGTTATGGATTTGTTTCTCTGGCTCAATGTGCACCATTAACCAATGCCCTGTATATTTGAATGCTTTGTGACTATTTGCATCCATACATAAACTGTACGGCAACAACAATGATTATTCCTCTAAGTTAATGCGTCATTGCACCCATGTTACCCAGAATTGGTTTGATGAGCATTCTGGATACTTCCAACAAATAATATGGCTGGCACGATCGTTCAAAGCATTTATGGAATATGATAGAGAAGTCTAATTGCATGCAATTGCACCTAAAGGAGCTGAGGACAGATATGCTCAACAACACTACAGAGGTCTTCCGAACACTTCTGAAATCGACAGGTTAAGTTGCTGAATTTCTCCAAGTTCGATTCGATGCAACTTGATATGATGCACCTATTCAATAAATTTTGGCACGTCACTATGCATGTGTTTCAGTTCTTTCTTATATTGATTATCCTTCTGTGTTTTATTCAGTCGTCATTTTAGGGTTAATTTTTATATTTCATATTTCTGAGTGTACGCTGTAAAAAAAATCATAATTTATCGTAAGTGCGAACTATAAAGAATTTCAATTTTCTTCCAAAATGTTCATACATCCATAAATTAATATCTGTATACTCACAGCATAACACAGTCCTATCTATAAAAATCCAGAATTATTAATTATTTTTAGGTAAATTTCCTTCTTTTCATGTATGATTCATTATTAACTTTATTTTGAACGTCTTTCAAAAATAATTTCCTCAACATCTTCGCCAGAGAAGAAAGAAATTAATCTTCCAATTTTCGTTACAATGGATAAAATAGTATTTAATACGAATGTCATTAAAATGACATCTTGAAATATAATTTTTCCAGCAGCCATTATCACGCTTTGTTGAAAGGTTAAAGTTTGTCTAAGACTATATTATGCCCAAATCTGGGTGAAAAATGAAAGAATACTGATAGTTCAATGTGATGTCTGGTATTGGCCTGAGAGAAAAAATCTGTGGTTATTGCAGGCATTATATTTTTTATGATTTCTGATGACAAATCCAATGTACCAGTATCTACTTAGCTGTTCCGGCTCCTCCGCCAGGTTATATGATTTGATTAAAGTATATATACATATTTATTCAAAGTGCAACATTTTATTATTTTTGCACGAACTAACTTTGCTAATTTACAACATAAAGTAAAACGATGTGGAGAAATGAATCAGTGTGACATTTTCTTAACGTCATTTTCAATTAATTTTTCATCAACTCCTACTCACTTTCCTTTCTGTGTCTCTATTGTTGGTGTCCTTTTTGTATGTATTCCTAGTCCTCAGTTTTGTATGTATTCCTAGTCCTCAGAAGATAATCAATGTAAAATCATTTTGATATACATAGGGTCACTGACAATTTTCAAGGAAATTTTTTTCAGCTTTTTAATTCTTTGTTATTAACTTGTGTTTACAATTTAGCACAAGATGGCAGTATAGGATTGTAGTTTATAAATACTTATAACCGTTGACTAGTTGACCAGAGCTAAATAACTCAAACAACGTTCATTTTTATTTTATAGATGATAAACTTCCATCATAATTAGGAAAACTATAAAAAGGAAAAGAACAAGAAAATACCAGAGTTTTTATTTTATTTAACATTATATTGTAATTGTTGTGCAAGAGCAGTTTTGGTGAAATATAGTATGTCAAGAAAAAATAAAATATATTTTTGATCTTTTAAATCTAAATAATTCATTTACATTATTCTTTATTTTCCTTTATTAGAGAATTTTTTAATAAAACTATTCTTAAACTGTGAAATATTTTCCCTTGAACAACCAAAATTTTTGATTCTATCCTGAGTAAAACTGGGACTAAGACAAAGAAAAATGATTTTTGTAGATCAATATCAATATAATTCGGAAATGATAATTCGTGATGTATATTTTACAATGCAAAACGATGAGATCTTTTGGAATAATTCATCAATATACTTAGCTAAAGGAACACCCAGTTCATTATAAGCCTAATTTTTTTAAATTACCAAATTAACCAGCTTTTCAGTTTTAACGGCAGATGTTTTAAACCAATCTTGAAAATGACGTAATGCGAAACTTTAAATTTCCAAGATAAAATGATAAAATGTTTCTGTTAGATTTTTTAAAACGTAATATTGTTACTATTATACAGTAATGATCTCGGGTTTTCTTTATCACCTTTTCACATTCCAGGTAACATCTTCTTAAAGTATTTTTTTATCCGGTAACCTTTTGTGTATCAAATGTATGCTGTCACATTTTATGTTTATCCTTATATCTAAGGATATTATACATTGTAATTTTAACCTTTCCTCTTGTATATTAACCCTTGCTATATCCGCTTTGCGGAACCTTAGATCAAGCCCACAACTTGTACCAAAGATAAACGAGGCATGGTCATGTGAATAAAATCTTTAGATTTGTTTCTTTAAAGACGTGAAGATTTTTAGGTAGTAACAGTATTTGCGATAATTACGGTTGAAATATATTTCTCCCTACTCCATTTTTTTATATTTATGCTCTTTCTTTCTTCTTTTTATTCTAATATTCATAATTTTTTTAGTTTGTTTTCTTCTTTTTCACACACTTTCTCTCATTTTTCTTTTCTTCCGTCTTTTCCATTTTCTCTTTTCGTTTCCTTCGATCCTCAGTTTTCCCTCCAAATTATGTTTCTTTTGAACTCTTGATCCTTTTCTTACCTACATTTTCCATCCTCATTTTCTAACACTCTTGTTCCAGTTGTAATATTCTCAATTTTCATTTACATGTGTACGTTATGTACACATGTCACATACTTTATTCATATATTATCGCTAAGATTGAATAAGTCATCAAAAGCTAATAATTTCCATTTCAAAACAGTTTTCTTTCTCTCTCTCTCAGACACACACACACACATTCTTCTCTTCTTGTCTATATATGAAAACTAAAGGTGCCTTACTAATCCTCTGCCTGCATTGCTGACACTTCTTTTATCAAGGATTTCTATGTCTGACTCTCTTGGCTTTCCAAGTTTTTATTCTTAATAATTGTATCATCTGTTTTTCCTTATGGTACTATGAGAAGAAATAAGCGCAAATAAATGCGTTAATCGTGATCATCGAGGCGTTACGCATGAGTCTCGAAACTAAATTGTTTGACACTCAGATTTTATGGGGAATATTGAGTTAGATGTCATTCAGCACGAGTGGCGACAATACTAAGGATAATAAACACAAGAACAAAATCTTCAAATTGACAGCCAGAATCGTCGGTCGACTGATCAGGTGTCTTCAATCCAACCAAGTATAGAAATTGAGCTAGTGGCGAACATCTGACCAAACAGTTAATATACTGGCCATACAAACATGAACAATCTTAAGTCTGGCTTTTGCGGATACTTGTGACAGTTAACAAAAAGATAGGAACTTTGCACTTGAGGAAAAAACAACTATACGTATCGAAAAATATAAAAGTGGTATTATGACGTCACACAAACTTTTGCATTAAAGATGTAATTTCCTGTATTTACATTAGTCGGACTATTGTCCTCATCTTTGTCGCCATATTTGTCACAACGTTTCGGCCGTTGTACCCTCCGGCCTTCTTCAGGTGTTTGGAATTTCGAACTGAACCCTTTATTTCGATCACTGGGGTAGACTGTTCTAGTTCCACGTGCCATGTTTGATGGAAATCAGTTATCAGTTATCTCCTGCTAATTTTTCCTCTGAAAGTTCTCCACTGCCTTAACCGGGTATTGAACTCACACCCTTTCTCCACTGAACCGGGTATTGAACTCACACTCTTTATCCACTGTGCCATGTGTCCTCAAGGACACATGGCACAGTGGATAAAGGCGTTGGTTAGATCCAGTGACAGACCCAAAGTGTGTGATGAGGACAATAGTCCGACTAATGTAAATACTGTACATAATACCTCATCAAATAATACTGTTGATTCTTCTTTGGATTTTATCAAAGATCTCTAGATATATAGCAGTAGCATCATACTATATGTGGCAGCAATATTCTCAGCTTGGACGAATGGTAGACCTATAGATATGTAAGTTACATTCTGGAGAGAAAAATTGTCTAGCACGACAAAGTGAACCAACTATCTTAGTAGCTGACCTAGCAATGAATTAAATACGGTTTCAAGTACCCATGTCTTGTCCTGGAAAGCTAAAAAAAGCAAAGCACAAACTATTCCGTAATCGCTATTTCATAAATATGCTAAAATTTACATATTTAATTTGAAAAAATAACATTTTTATTAACTGAAGTTCTGAAATTAATCATATACACGAAGAAAAATATTACCGATTGTTTTCTGTTCGGAGTGCAAAAATGTAGACAAGGCAAGAAACTAAAAACAAAGAAAATCGAACTTCGAACTTTCTCTTACAAAATTGTTCCATTATTTGTCATAACTACCATTGCTCCCACATAAAACATCGACCTTACAAACACTATGTAGCATTCTGGAAAAGTAGCGGTAATTATCATCATCATCATCATTACCGCCAATGATAACTACGATAAATATTCCCATTCTAAACTTTATTTGTAGTAGTTAAATTTGTTTCGAATCAAAATAATTATTTTCCTTATTTTGTGTTTGTTCTGTAAAAAATCTCATGAAAATGCAATGAATATCACCATTAGAAATAGTTTCAGAAACGTGAAGCTAGTGTAAAATATTATTATATACTTACAATAAATCTTATCAGATACTTATATTTGAATTGTTTTTTTTTCTTCTTTTCTCTTAAATTCTCTCATCTCTCTCTTTGTAAATCTCTTTCAAGTTATTGTCCTTCTCTATGTTCTTTTTCTTTTTCATCGTTGATTTCCTTGCGGCATGCTTTACAGCATGTGTTCATTGACTTTTTCGTTGCCCTTACCCTCACACACAAAACCTCTCTCTCTCTCTCTCTCTCTCTCTCTCTCTCTCTCTCTCTCTCTATCTCTCTATCTATCTATCTATCACTTTCTTTCCTGCGGAACCTCATCCCATCAGTTCCTTTTCTATATTACTCTTTTCAACTCCCATCCCACATTAGAATTGTTTCTTTTTTATTTACCTGCTTTTACCTTTTCTCTTGCATACTTTGTTTTTATGCACTGATCCTGTTTTGCTGATCCTGCTTGATCTGATCAAATATCGTTTGGTGGTTCTCCACACCTACTTTACTCCACTATATTCGTTGCTCAGTTGCGAACCCCAGCGGCAAAACAGAGTAGATGTTTTTCCATTGACGCATCTATTCCAACTGATGTAGTTGATGTTTCGTTAGAAAAGGAGGAATAGGCTCAGGCAAATGCAACTGCCTTGTTTGATTGACCTTGATTTACAGATTAAGTCACGAAGACATCAAGCAGCGGCATCCAACTTCCAATAAAACCCGCTTGAAAGGCGAGACACAGACATATCCCAGTATTTCTTGTACAGTTTATCATTCCATCGTTTTTACCAAACTTGGCACTTTCCTTTCTTTTTTTAAATCCTTTTAGAAATTTATAACTTGCTTTTTCTCTTTTTTTATTTCTCTCTTTCAACACATTATTTCAGCATATTTAATTATTTTCATTTTACTTTTACAATGATTTTTTGGGCGTGGATCGGTTAAAACATGCCCACTAATGCATAAGATTCAGATAGATTTTAAACTCCCTTTATTTATGAAGTCTTGATAAATATAAGTAATTAATAAGTTTAACTTAGTTTGCTGCAGATAGAAGAGACAGGTGGAGTCTTTTACAAGATTCCGTCAAGTTAGAAACATATGTCTGTCCTGAAAATCTGCATTTTGATCAGTTTTTTTTTTTTAAAAACTCGGATAACAACCATCGGTGCCAATTACCTCGGGTACCTCATCTTGGATCAAATCTTTATTCGTAGAAATATAGTTCTATATTTTGTAATGTTTAAGGCAAAAGTACTGTAAGTTATTGTATATATGGCTAAAAGCCGAAAATGTTTTAATACGTAAATTTCAGTGAATGTAATGGCGAAAATAAAAAAAAATGTTTCACGTTCTTCATATATATTCATTATTCTTCTCCTTTTCTATCTTATTTGAAGTTTTAAAATAATGTTTCTGACACACTTTTATTTTCATTCTTTATTTGCTTTCAACATAATTCTTGGAAAATTTAAAAGACATTTCACCCTGGTTCGATAACGCAGTCCGCAGGCTTAGTGATTTGATGTGATTAGCAAAAATCGAGATAAATCTATCACTGATGATGGTAAAGATGATCATGATTCTCAACTGGCATTTTTCTTCATTCGAAACCTTTTCCAGATTGTTAATCTCTCATAATAGATCTTTACCAATCTCGTTGCTTTTTCTCTTTTCTTTTGATTGTTTCAGTTTCACTTTCTATCCGCTTTTCCGTCTATTGTTCGTATTTCCTAACCACTTTTATATCTTTCTCCCGGCCATCTGACTTTTCTTCTATTTTCTGTCAATTTTTATTATTCTCTGGATGTCGTCTGCTTTTCGTCTCGCTTTTATGCTTTTGGCAATTCTCACTTCTCAAAACCCGCCCGGTTCAAAATACAGTGCTAGTCACCCCTATAATTAAAAATGGAATATTCTTTACAAAATATTCATCTTCCTTGTGGGCTTTTTATGTAAAGAAAATAATATCAAAAAGGTTAGTAGTATGAAGATTGTGTTCTTTCTTTTTTAGTCCTATAAGAATAAACAGCAATTTGTAAGGTCAATGCAAAACGAGTATGGATATATGAAAAGGTAATGTTACAGGAAAATACACATTTCAAATTTGTTCGGTATACTTTTAAAGGATTCGTTAAACATATTTAAACATACGATATAAAAAGTCTCCTCCAAAACTGAAGACGCTGCGCCCATCCCCACACATACATTCAGACTGTATTGTTCATAAAATATGTATATTTATTGTACGTCTGTCACTATACACCAAAGCACAAAAAAATGAGCTGAAGAACATAAAACATAGACTAAAAACGAAAAGACTTGGCAAAAACGAGAAAATTATTATTATCAATCATAGCAGAGTTCCTGCATTTTGATGAAACAAATGATATAATTTAAATGCGCCGTTAATTCTAACCTTTTGCATTTTTTTAAATAACGCTGAGAAAAGTAAGAAAATGTTAAATCTGTTAATTATATTTTAAGGTAGACATATAGTAAACATTTCTTTGAAATCATAAAATGAGCCAGTCCTAGTCAAAATACTTTTAAGATCATCTTTTATAAATTCGCATCAGGTTAAATTTTGTCTGTGTGTCTCCATGAAAAGAGTTAAAATTATAAAAATTTTACCGACATGAGCACTATATCTATATTACTAAGAAATAGCGTTTACAACATAAACGGTAACATGTAATGCGCATAGATGTTTTTAATAAATATCGATGTTATTTTTAATTCATTTTTTTTTAATTCCCATATATATTTTAATCGATAAAAATTTGTTTTTCTTATAAATTCATCGTGTTTCTATATACTATTTTTTTCTTCACTGTCGTTTGGCGAGTATACTTTATTACGAATACTTATGAATGGCAGAGTTTTATTTATTTTTAACATTTAGGGTATATTTCGTATTTTTGAATTGGTATAGAAGAGATGTCTCTAACCTTGACGCTTGTTTTGTGAAGTTCATTTTTACTATTTATTCTGTATTGTGGATTATTTTCTTTTATCATTTAAATAATTGATTTGACTACAGCAGCAAAATAACAACAATAATCATAATTGGTCTTATAAATATTTCACGATTCAATCTACATTTGAATCCAAGGGGTGTCTCAAAGAAAGTTCGAAATAAATCCCAATCAGTATGCTGGTAACAAGAAGAAGTCTTGTGAATAGGAAACAACTCAAAAGTAACATCAGTACGCAGTTAAAAACTGATTTGCATTCATTCATTTCGTGATTTTCTTAGATACGCCACTCATATATATATATATATATATATATATATATATATATATATATATATTAGTATAGGAATAACTACATTCATTTACGAAGTTTTTGTGTTTGGTGCTTATCATTCTAATGTTATTGATGTTGCCAGTACTCAGGCCTTCAGTTTTTCAGTCACTCAGTCAAATAGTAGATTTCTCTGCTCGTTTTCCTAATAATTATGAGTCACATATTTCTTTACTTGATTTATTCCTTACCTCCTATCCCAGCTCTTGTCGCGGATCGCAACTCTCTCCTCTTCGCAATTCAGATCAACTTCTTTTAACTTAGGTACCTCCGTTTATTTCGCGAAAATCTAATATAGCATGACAAGAATGGTCTGAAAATTAACAAAAAAAATTTTTTTCATTATAAAAGTATATTTCATTATTGAGAAGAAACACTAAAGTATTTTTTGAGTAATTTTTGAAATTTTTTACTCATTCTTAGCATTTCCGAAATTTTAGTTAAAAAAAACTTGTTTACAAAATAACGAACAAAAGCTCGATATCAGCCATATCTCTGTTGGATCGCTAAAAAAAGAGCATAGCATGATTAAAAAGACGCCAAAGTTGATGAAAACAAAATTTTCGCATCTAAATGCTTATGTTACTTTTTAGAGGAAAGATCAAAGTATTTTTTACTTATTTTTTGAAATTTTTCCTTCTTTTTTAGAACATTGTAAATTTTGATTAAAAGACCTTGTTTCTCTTTTTGTTACTCTCACATTTTTACGCTGTAGCCTAATTTTCCCCTTTTATTCAGTTTATTATTCAAATTGTATTTCATTATTGTCGTCAAAACATTATATTTACATTTTTGAAATACTTTATAACGTAATCCATATTTTCATTCAATAACCTTTCTTTATTAGACAAATTATTTATCTATATAGATAGCGGTATATACATTCATTAGTATTAATCCTTATTTCCCAGAGGTCATTTTGTTAAATTCTATATATCTGAAATAAGAAAAATATTGAGCACTCGAAGAATAACGCGGCAACAATGAAACAATGTATAACTGATAATACATCACATGAGAAATTAATTACATGAATATTTATTTTTGTGAATTTATTTTAACCATTTCATCCCAAGCAAGGCAATAAAGCCTCTAAGACGCAAGGGGGATTGCTGAGTGTTAGGGAATAAGAGAAAATTAGTGCTGAGGGGAGAGGACAATAAAAGCACAAGGATTGAGAATATACAAGATAACGATTAACATTGCATTTAAATTTTTGAAGATTAAAGTTAAACGTGTCGCGAGAAGCCGGAAGAGAATTCCAAAAGTGCGAAATACGACAGAAGAAACTGTTAGCATAGAACTTACGGTTACATCTAGGCATTTCAAGTGTAAAAAGATGAGACCTTACCGCCAATCTAGTACTAGGTAACATATAGGAAAATTCATCAGAGCAATTAAGTAGATGTATTTATAGAAAAGGCATAGGTAAGCTACGTTACGGCTGTGGGAAAGGGACAGAATCCAAGATGACAGGTCAGGATCAATAAGAGTGCAGATTCTTCTTTGGATTTTATCAAGAATCTCTAAATATGTAGTAAAAGCACCAGACCAGATGTGTCAGCAATATTCAAAGCAAGGACAAATGGCAGACTCATAAATATGTAAGATAGATTCTAGTGATAAAAATTGTCTAGTACGACATAGTGAACCTACTTTCCTAGCTTGCAGACTTAGCAATATATTCTTTCCACTTCATGTCAGCTGTAAACGTTAGTCCGAAGAGGTTAAATGAATTACTCTCCTAAAGATTAGCATCAGCCATGATGGTTGGAAGGTAAAAAGGGTTCTCTCAGATTATTAAAAGAGAGCAGTTTTGTTTTTGAGACGTTCAAATTAACAGTCCACTTATTTCACTAGTTAACAACAGATTGTAGCTCGTTTCTGAGATCAGCTGCCAATCTTACCTTATCAAACCGATCAGACTTACTATTAAGAGAGGTGTAAATAGTTGTGTAATCAGTATAGATAGAGATTTGATAACTGATGACATTCATCCTGCGATTTGATAAGACTGAATCAGTCCAAAATTCCGCCCCAAAATACCATAACATTTCAACTTGTGAATAAGACAGAATAAAAGAATTGTAGAAAAATGCAACAGATTAAAGTAATTAGAAATTCATTCTTTGTACAAAACCTGTTCACATAGTGCTCACACTGATTCATTTTTGCGCATTTTGGAGGCTCCACTTTTGAATTTCTATATTCGCATATATTAAACAATCAGCGACGTTATTTGTAAAAGCGCTGAGACCTTTGAAATTACAGACTACTCTGTTTATCGTCTGTTATGAA